ATACTATACTATACTATACTATACTATACTATACTATACTATACTATACCATCAGGGCTCCTAAAATATGAATAGCTAATACTTAGTAAGTCATATGATGTGAGCTTTATTTACTCCCATTAATAACCTCTGGAGGGAACTCTCATGGCTTGGTGGTAAGGAGTTGTGCTGCTAATCTAGAGGCATGTGGTTCAAATCCACTAGCTGTTCCTCAGCAGAAAAATGGGCTACCTCCTCCTAGGTGATTTACAGTCTCTGAACACTCACTGTAGGTTCTGTTATGAGTTGGTTCTGATTTAATGGTACATAATAACAAAACCTCTAGAGCCTGGTGCCCCAGTAGGTAAAGAGCTGTGTTGCCAATCCAAACGTACATGATTCAAGTTCATCACAAAGTAAAATGAACACTCTCCTGTGCAATTTGCAGTCTCTGAAAACCCACTGAAGGGTCAGCTATGAATTGGTTCTGGCTTGATGGTATAGAACAACAACAAGCTCTGGAGTAGACTTCATTATGCTCATTTCACAGAAAAGGAAATGTACAAAGCTACAAGTAAACAAGATAGCCAATATATGAACTTAATTTCACCTGTTTCTAAAGTATAGGTTCATAGCTGATTTTTATCCTACTGTTCTCTATGGAACAAGAACACAGAAGGAAAAGAAGTAAGTGTTGGGTCAACGGAGGCTAACAAAGGCACACTGACTTGGCACATAATTGTTTATCAGATAAGTCATTCTAGACTGGTCACTTGCTTGATGTCAGACTGTTCATTAGATACTGGCCATACAAAGGCAAGATGGAGGTCAATGCTCAAAGATTTCATAGGTGAGAAATTAACTTTTTCTTATCACTTTATACATTTTTGTTGAATACCATAGAGTTGGAACAGACCCATAGCTGTTCCTCCAGTGGGTTTTCAGAGGCAGTTAATTGCAGAGGAGGTGGACTGCCCATCCTCCCAAGAAGCAGCTGATGACTTCAAACCACATGCCTTCAGGACTGCAGTGCAGCTTTGTGCCGCTGGGCCACCAGAGCCCAATAAATACTTCTGTGAACAAATGGATAAAAGCTACTTTTTTGTGAACTAGGAACAAAACTTGAATATGATTAAAGCCTAAGGGAGTTTAGCGAGAAGGTGTTTAATTAGGTCAAAGGAGGTCAGAGACAGTTTCACGGAGGAGACAATACACCGAGACTTGAACAGTGAACACAAATAATGAGGAAGAGAGCAGACTTCCTTCCAGGCAGAGGTTAAAACATAAGAGGAATTACAAACAGCTCAGCACTGCTGGAACAATGTCTATTTGGGCAGATAGGTATCAGATCAACTTGAGAAGGCAGCAGTCTTAGAGACCTTGCTGAGGAGTTTGGCTTTCACCCTCAGTACAAATTGCTATTGTTGTTGTTAGCTGCCCTAGAGTTCACTCCAATTCAAATTCAAAACATCACCTGGCCTGTGTCCTCCTCATAGCGGCCACTACATCTAAGTCCATCATGGAGCTATTATGCTAACAGTCCTCTGCTTTATCAAGTATGATGTCTTGCTCTAGTTACTGACTCCTCCTGATGACATAATCAAGGCAAACAATTCAGATAGTATTCTATTGTGACCCAGAAAGTCTTCATTGGCATGTTTTGGAAGGTGGCCAGACCAGACTTCCTATCCCTGAAAAGCTGTCTGCCGTGTTGTATTGATCTACTGGTAGCTTCTAGCATCACAGCAATAGGAAAACAACTAGAGTACAATAAACTCTTAGATGGGTGGTGGCAGGTAATTGTTCTAGATGTTAGGTGCAAATGAATTTGAGTGTGACTCATAGCAATCATATGAAGAACAGATCCGTACCGTGTCCTCTCCTGTGTCATCCTTATCATCTGACATACTGCTTACTGCTGTCATCACTGTGTCAATCCATTTCACTAAGGGTCTTCTTCTCTTTTGCTGACCCTCCACTTTTCCAAGCATAATGTCCCTTTCCAAGGAGCATCCCCTCCTAATAAGGAAGCTCTGGTGGCCTAGTGGAAAGAAGCTGAGCTTCAATCCCAAAAGCATATAGTTTAAATCCACTATCTGCTCTACAGGAGAAGGATGGGCAACCTCCTCCCATGTGATTAACTGCCTCTTAAAACCTGCTAGACACACAATTAATAACAGTGCATCTAAATTCCAAAATCAATCTCCATAATAGTCTATGTGTTTCCTACTGCCAAAGGGGCCCTTTAGAGTAGTGAGAGAAGATCTTCACCCTGAAACCCACAACGTCCCTTTTCAGCAGGAAGTAGCTAAGAGAATATGCCATCCCCTTTTCCTTATGAATCAGGGTGAAGTCTCTCTCAGGGAGGAGTGATAGGGAATGGCAAAGGACACACTGACAAAGGAGATTAATCAGAACTGGCTTTGACAAGCACTGTGGCAACTGGACAATTAAAACAGACATTCGGGGGGAGGGGGAAGAAGAACGAACTGGGGAGGAGGGTAGAGAAAACAGTACAACAATGAGTGAATGAGAACCCAAAATCTCTGTAAATGTTCATTAAAACTAATAAAATTTAATAATAATTAAAAAAATAACACCTGCTAGACAGTCAGTGATGGGTCAGTTCCAACTGATGTCACACAATAACAACATGCCCAAATTATGTGAGACAAAACTTCACTATCTTTGCCTCCAAAGGAGCACTCCAGCCACACTTTCTCCAAGAAACATTTTTTTTTGTTCACTGGCAGGATTTGGAAGATTGTCAGGCCTCTCTTCCTAGCTCTGAAGACTATCTACCCTGCTGGTATTGATAAACGGTAGTCTAGCTTCCAGGATTACAGCAGTAAGAAAGCAACCACAGTACAATAAGCTCACAGGAGGTAGTAGTGTGCGATCAGAAGCCACCAATGGTTTTAGTGGAAACGGCACAGACTAGGATTTGTTTACTTTTAGAAATCTGTGGAGAGGGTAACGTGGATGATTCAGAGATGGAAGAAACTGGAGACAGAATGGCCTGTTAGGAGTTTATTTCAAAACTGCAGGCAAGAGACAGTGAAAATCTAGCATCAACAGTGGCAGTGAAGAGGATGGATCAAAGGGTTATTTAGGAAGCAGACTATGTAGAAACTGTTGAGATTACTCTGAGAATGAATAATTGGGTTTGTCTAGCATGCTTCCAACCTTTCTAGCCTGGAAGCATTCACCAAAAAGGATCATAAATTATGAAGTCTGAAGTGATCATCCTTCTAGTTAATTCCTTTTCTCCTTAGATATCTTATTGGCAAAAATTTTGTCTCGTCTCCTGGTTATTCCATCCCCCTCCGTATTCTAACTTTTTTATGAAAAACTCCTAAACTCATTAAAAAAAATTTAAAGGCAGCAGTTATTCCATTTTTAACACACTAACAGGACTTACATTTTAAAAACTTTAAAGTTATCAATAATCTCTCTCTCATTGCTGTACAGTCAGAAATGACTCATAGCTGACCCTCCAGCAGGAGACTGCTCATATTTCTCTTGTAGAGCAGCTGGTAAATTTGAACCACCTGCCTCTGAGATTCCAATACAAGTTCTTACCTACAAGGCCACCAGAGCTCAAAAAGAGCGTGAAAAGGATTTGGATTTATGTGTTACAGCTTAAGTGTTTAAGAACTAGTGAAGATATAGAAGTCCTTGGGCAATGTGGAGGCCTTCCACAGTGGGAAGGAATGAGAGCAAAGACAAGTGGGGTTGGTAAGAGAATTTTAACCCCTGGAAGCAGAATCTGCTATCAGAATTTCTCAAGGGTGGGGCCCTTAATGGAGAAACGGCCTGAAATAGATGACTTGCCTCACATTGCTTCCAAGGAGGTTAACAGTTTCATTCATACATAAACTAAGGATTGAGTGTTTAGATGCCATTGGATGGAAAAACAAACAAACAAAAACCCTCCTGAAGTCTGGCAAGTCTCAGGCTGTTTCTGATCCAAATGACAGGGCAGCTCAGGCCTGCTTCTTTAGGATTTTG